CAACATTGCCTCACACTCCCAGGACCAGGGTTCAAGCCTCACCATCATGCACAACCACCACCCCAACACCATGTGGAGACCAAGACAGATGACCATCACCCTCAGGAACCCCCCCCCAAATATACAGTTAGGAAGAAACAGATTGCCACACTTAGGGCCCCCACCTTATTATTAAAAAAGTGTGAGAGCAGCAAGACTTATAATAATAATATATATATAATAATGTCTTGTAACCCTTATAATGTGCTTATAAATAATGTAAATAATATAAATATAAATGTAAATATAAAATGTAATGTAATGTAAATATAAAAATATAAATAATTATTTATACATGTGGTATAAATAATGTGCTTATAACCCTTAACCACATCTTTTCCTATAAACCAAGATACAGGTCACTCAGCCCAATAAGCCACACAAGCCAGTACAGATATTCAACAACTTGGTCTCCTAGTTTACCTGAAATAGCAGATGGTAGGAGGGCAAGGAACCCTTAATGAGGCCTTAAAGCAAAGCACCTGGATCTTCACAGACCAACAACCCAACTGGTCTCCCAACAATGCTTAGCCTCACACAAACTACCTGGCCAGAACTACAGGTGCTATGGCTGCTGATAACTCAGCACTACGATCAATGACAATGTGACCATCAGTTAGATGTGTATTTCTCAACCCCCCCCAAAGCCTGAGAAAACAGATGACAAAATTTTAGTTCCCCTTTTTTTCAAAAATATCAACATATCATTTAATATATATATTTTTTACATTCATCAGTTTTAATAGGTTTTGTCTTCTAACATGATTGGCAATATAGACAGCAAGTTAATGTAGGTATTTCTGGTCAGTCTCATTAATTCATGTATGTTTCACACCATCACTGCACTGAACTGTGGCAATAAAATAAAAGCTGAGGCTCACAGCTTACTAATTTATTAAAAACAAGAAATTCAAGAAATCTGTGAAATCACATGGAAATTCCATTTGTAAAAATTAAATAATATTCTTGCCTCTGCTGGAACAATGAAAATCAGCCATTTTAGAAAACATTTTTATCAACGTTGCTGTGTAACACAATCTTTGCTCTTTAACACCATGTAGGGTTTGCACCCTGAACGAAGTGTACGTTTTTTAAGGAAAATTCATGATTAATGACTATATTCACATCTCCATAACGAAACATCTAAAATAAAAAACAGACTTGGAATGATACCCAACACACATCTGTGGTCTGTTAGATGGTGCTGAGATGCAGGGCCGTGTAGACCATGTTCACAGTGGTACACAGGAGGGCCAGAAGATTGCAGAGCGAGGACAGGCCGTGGTACCGGAAGAAGCTGGCTCTGAGGGCCTTGTACTTGGGGTCCTTCTCTCGCAGCTTGGTGTACTCCTCCTTCTTGGTCTTCAGCCCAACCTCACCCCCCAAACTGTGCTCCCGCTCCACCTCCTGCATCTGCAGCATTAATTCTGTGGTGGACGGGCTGAACCATTGTGCGTTCAGGCCCACCAGTAGCAGGGCGCTGAAATACAGGCATACCTGTCACAGGAGACGGCGAGACAATGCAGGCGTGAGCTCCTATCGCACGTGCAGCGTCAACACTTCAGCTTAATTTTATATACTGATGGAATCATATTCCTTTGCCTGCTGCAGCTAAAATATTGTATCAATCAGACAGATAGTACGTGAGTCTTCTTTACAAACTTGTACAGTCAGAAAGAGAGTACAGCCCTGGTACAAACAACATTAATGCACCCCCAATGGTACAAAAATGTTCCTCAGTCCATTTCTGTACCTACAGCTAAGGTACAATTGGCAGACCTTAGAGCAGGGGTGTCAAACTCCAGTCCTGGGGGGCCAAGCCCTACATATTTTTGGGTTCCCCCTCATTTAACACATCCGATTCTCTTTGCAAGTGCTAATTACTACACAGCTCTTGAGCTGAATCATCTGCAGTGGAGCAGGGAAAGAACTAAGCTACACAGGGCTCAGGCCCCCCAGGACTGGAGTTTGACACCCCTGCCTTAAAGGGTGCATCTCCAGTGACAAGTGAGTATACCCACCAAGACACAAAATTAGTACTTTTTTTTCTGACAGTGTAGATGCAGATCATAAAGCTGATGGTCTCTCCACAAATGCTTAAGTACTAAACTAAAAGCAAACAGTAAACATGGGCAGAAAACACAGGAAGAGTGTAGTTACATCACAGTTATTCTGTACTTTAACCAACTTTTCTTTCTTTTTAACCAACCCCTTGCCTAATAAAAGAAAACAATTTTAAAGGAAACAGCTGCCGTCTGATGTCTGCCCCGACCTGCAGCGCCTCGTGCCAGTCCAGCAGCTCGCGGGGGTGGTACACGGCAAACACCGCGAGGCTGAAGAAGTTACTGGCCAGGAGGCTGTAGAAGTAAAAGGGGAAGAGGACTCCCTGCACCTGGCCGAAGGTGTGCCGAGGAACTCGGGCCACCAGCACAAACCCTGTGGCAAAGAGAAACACGCCATGACGAAGAGAAACACATGTGGTAATAATAAATGGGAGCCATCACGGTCCACTACAAAAAGATCGGTTTAATATCGCAGTCTAACCACGGCTGCTGACTCTCCGTCATCTGGCATGATGCTCACGCAAAAAATCTTCTGACAAATCTACATTGTTCAATTATAAGCCTACATCAAACGCGCTATAGGGTAGTTCGCAAACAACAGTCTATTTACAAGGTAATAAAACTCTTACATAGCTACATGTAAACGTTTCTGCAGACTTAACTCGAATTTAAAATCTCACTCCAGCCAGCTGTCCAAAGTTGGCAGCCCTGCTTAAAGCTATTTAATATTGCACCTTAACGTGGTATTAGAGAGAAGCCCCCACTCACCCGCTATGAAGGTAACCCACACCTGTGTGCCCCAGACGAAGGACATCGCCAGCAGGTGCAGCACCTTCACGAAATCCGTAGGCTGCCCCTCCGTAGCCATGCTGACCGTTTGGAAACAATCAATACAGAAATTTCGCAAAATACCACTTCAAGACAAGACTGTTATGCAGAAAATGAACCGACAGCTATCGGGAGCGGCCATCTGTCCTGCCAAATAACCGAAGGGGGTAGTGCGCGGAGATAAGGGCAGCGCTGTGCTGGTCCCGCTAAACCCCTTTGGCCTTGTTGGCGCTCGGCTGTTTAACCTGAGGATTAGTTAAAGCCACCGTTAGCTTATCACAATCGTGCACTGAAAACAGAAAGAGGCTTGATTGTTATGCAGATAGCGGCAGAACTTTTGGTAGCTGAACTGCACCCGTTCTCTTTTTGACATAATTAATGCATTTAATGTTTCCCGAGAAATACCAGATCAGTGAACGACCGACCAGTCAATGTAAGTTATTCCATGACGGCTTCACTCACAGCTCCAACCATGTTGGCTAAATCAATAGCCGGACAGTTTGATAGTTAGCGGATGGTAAATCACGAGATCAGCCATGCCGTTACACAACATGACAACTAACCTTATTCATTTCTTGGTTGTTATGTGTGAATAACTAACGATTTCAGACTGAAGCAATCAAAACACAGATATCGTCAGACCGACCCAACTTACCTGATACAAAATAACAAAGTTCAGAGGCGATCTGCCGTAAACTCGCCGCCTGCCTGAATGATCGGACTACGTGCAATCAGCCCCACCTCCTAAAATAAAGCGCCAGAAACCCGCCTCATTTCCTAAAACATCGGCTTTCTGTTTATTTCATAATCGTTTTTTCTTGTAGTAGTCCTCTATTGTGGGGGCACCGCCCCGCTGTGTGACACGTGATGTTTCCCCTCCGCCAAACGACGACAGAAGAGGTCGCGCGCTGCTTCATACGGTTTTATTCAAGGTCTCCGCACAGAGGCGTCTCGGCGTGATGCCTTCTTCGGTGTCTTACTGACAATGTGCACTTCAGCGTTAGAAAAGACACGTCCCTGCTGGACGACCAGTGATGACACAACAATTGTCATACAGGGCATCACCAGACCCCAAAATAAGCGGCATTACACTAGATTACCGTAATAATATACAAAGCAGGCGCGTAGCCAGTGATGGGCCAGGGCGGCACTGGCCCGCCCACATTACTCCCTGGCCCACCCAGGCAAGTTTGATCAAAATACATTTTTAGTTTATTTTTATTATTCAAATGTATTAAAAAATATATATTCATATAAACCTGATTTATTTCAAACCGTTCTCTGCTGAGAGTTTTCATTATTTTAATTTCTTTTACTTTTAGCCTACTTTATTTTCGGGTGAACTGTCTGCTCTGCACTGCTGACTAACCTGAATAAAATAGACAGGTTATTGTCTATGCTGGTGGTTTGTCCAGCCTTTATTGAGCACTGTTGAACATGATGGTTAGACGGTGTTTTGTTATTGCCTTTGCCGAATATTGCAAAATAAAGGTGTGTTTTTGCAGTTTGTTTGTCTATTATTTTTTCTACTCTCTAAGGTTTAATTATTATTTAAGTAATATTTTTTCTAGGAAAAAATATAGGCCCGCTCACTTTTTCAATGGCCCGCCCAAAATACAATTTCTGCCTATGCCACTGATACAAAGTATAGTATAATCGATCATACGTATACCATGTGACGTATTACAAAAAGCAGACACAGGAGAAGGTCGTTTTGCGGTCCAGCACTATGACACGGTGTTGTGTCATTAGGAGCGAAGCTCGTTTTTCTTTGCTTTGTGTCGCCTCTACCCAAATGGATACAGTATGTCTGGCCCAACCGGCCATAGCCATAGGTAACAGTTCATATTAATAATGCCTTCTTCTAGTATGGGTCATAATATGGTCTTGGTGAATTTGCATTTTTAAAAAAATACTTCTCATTTACCCCTGTGGGAAAATTCTCTTTACACCTTTTCCAGGCTTGGCCATGGAGGGCTGTCACTTGTAGTGGTGCCCATTGTCTTAAAGGGAAAATGTCAGAGCACTTACTGGTTTCAAAGTGAAAGAAACCTTTAGCGGGGCTGTTGCCGTCCATACAGGAGGCATGTGGGAACTAACTGCTATGTTTTCTATGTGTATCTACAGTATATATGTCATTCGTGAATTATATACATATATATGTGGCATTGAGCCAGCGAACTTCATTACACTACATGCTCAGTACAGAGCTGTGCTCTCAACAGCTTGCCCACTAGAAGGGCAACTGAACCCAGAAGGGGAGCTGCAGACACACGTGCCCAATTCAAGACCGCCATTGGCCTCATGGGATATGTAGTCTCATTAACACGCAACAGGCTACATCTGAAAACTTTTTTTTTTTTTTTGTGACCGCTTCCTCGCTTCGTCCCTCGGTGACTTGCTGTCTAAATCTGAAAGTTCATGAAGCTAACTAGGGATGGAACGAGTGAGTGAGTGAGTGAGTGAGGAAGGTGGTGCGGACAAAAAGTGGTATCGGGACACACTTGCATCCTCTATGACACATCGCGCTCTGCCTGTACACCAATTAACTCAGCATGTTTCTAGACTATGGGGGGAATCCCAACAATGACAATATGAATAAATGAATGTTACATTTATGTAGTGCTTTACAGAACCAATGGAGAGCCACTTCAGCCACCCCCACTGTGTGGCCCCCACCTGCATGAGGCGACGGCAGCCGTTCTACTGGCCACACCTATGGTGGCAGTGACCCGGCTTTGTGAGCTGGTCTCCCATCCAAGCACTGGCCAGGCCCAGACCTGCTTCGGATGGATTACCTAGTCTCAGCTGCAGCTGGTATGGTGGCAAGCATGCAGACTCCACACACAAGGAGCCATGGCTGATACTCGAACCCTGGTTCCAGAAGTGTGAGTCGACAGTGCCAACTACTTTTTGGGAACCTCTCATCTTATTCAGGGTTTGGGGGGGGGGTCCAGAGCCTATCCTGGAGGCTACAGGTGCAAGGCAGGGAACAACCCAGGAGGGGGCGCTGACCCATCGCAGGGTACAGTCACCTATCAGTCAGTCACCCACACACACCTATGGGTAATTTGGTAACTGATTAACCTCAGCGTGTTTTTGGACCGGGGGGTGGGGGGACTGGAGTCCCCAGAGGAAATCCCACAATGACACATGGAGCCATGGCGGGGACTCGAACCCTGGTCCCTGAGGTGAGGTGAGAGTGCCCTGCTACAGGCTGATTGGACATTAATCTCTGAGTTATTTTAATATTTACTTTATTGGTCTGTAATTTAAAATACATTACCACGGGTGATTGTAAATACATATAAAATTCATTTTGATTGAAGAGTTTACAGGTATCTGGGATCATGATCACCTGACATTTTTATAGAGTATTATTGGATACTGGGCCTTATAAAATTGATTTTGTAGAATAATCTTGCAATGTGTTGCCATAGCAACAGCAGGTGCCTAATCCAACTTCTCTGAAGAACCCAAATCCAAACATGGGTACAAAGTTCGCATGACCTTTTTGGAACCATGCAAAGTTGTGTGAATGTGTGCGTAATAATGGCCAAGTCACCTAAAGAGTTGGGCCAGAACTGATTGTTCGTAAAAGTGTATAAACTTAGTGGATGTTTATATTAACTCGTGCAGCACTGAGTAATTTCAACTCAACCGAGGAAAATGAAGTGAATCTATTCGTTCTTTTGATGGCTTTGTGCATTTTGACATTGTCATATATATGTCACAGCAGGATGTGACTCAGTGTCAAAATACATGGAAACATAGCTTCTGATCAGTGTTATTGTAAGATTAAAAGGGGTTTGGGTAGACAAATGTTTTCCTTTTGGAGCAGATTAGTACAGATAAGTAGGTATATTCCAGTACTTGTTGCCAGTCAGGTTTTTTTTGGCTTTAGATTTTGTTTGCCAGCCTAAATAAAGGCTTCGTATCTTCCGATTTTGTTCTCGTTCACTAGCAGAATAACGTCTGGGTCCTGGATTTCTGTAACTGTACGGCTCTCGTCACACGTGAGCCTGACAAGCTTCCCCTGCAGACTGCATTACTCTCCAGTGCGCCATTTATGTTCTAAAATTAGACACGTTTAAATATTTTCATTATTAAGGCATCACCCAAAGTAAAAGCTGGAAGGAAATCAATGGTGGCTTCTGCTTCCTTGTTTTATTGGTATTGCACAGTTTTATTCCAAAATACAGACATAATGGAAATGCTTTGCTTTGTCGAGGCCAAGCACAGTTGGCTTTATCCAACCTTTGAAATAATGTGGCCATGATTGTCATTAAAACAAACCCAGCAAATGTAACTGAAGCACACACACCTTGGGTCCAATGTCAAGCAACATTTCACTAGCAGAGAAAAAGCGTTTATATCAGTTGAAAGGGGCTTGAGCTCACATGACCCACACATGCCTGTTTGGCCATTGAAGCATTAGGAAACTGAACATTTCGTGTCCAGCGCAGGTGACTCAGACTAAGGGCACCTTCGGGATTCTGCAGGGTTTACAGAAAGAATTTTTCCCCATTTTGGCAAGACGGTGGACGGATTCTCCCATGAACAAGAAGAGTCTTAGTGTCGAATTCAGTGTAAAACATCCTATATTATTGGTTCCTTTAGTGCAATCATTTCCTCAGTAGCAATAATCATCACTGAAAAGGTATCTGGTGTACCTTGACCTCCAACATACTGTCCCTTTGATGCTGCATACAACATTTCTTGCCCGAAATGTTCACAATCTTAAGTAATTCCACCCACAGGGACCATTAAACCCTTGGTAATGTAGAATTTCTGTAGTTACACATAGACTTACAAGTCTAAAAAAATACAGTGTTAAAAAAGTATTTAAAAGTGAGTCCTTATTTAGGCTGGTAAATTTTGGTATATGGATCCTGTTGCTTTTTTAAATATAGGATCTGACTTTGGAAGAAAAATGGTTTCTGATTTACAATTATAAAACATCTTTTTTGGCACAGATCCAGATAGCTGATATATTGAAAAATAAACACTAGATGGCACACTAACATAGATACATATAAAAGTTATAAACTGGGCTACGTGAGCAGCCCAAAACATTTCTTCATAAATACTTTACAAGATCCAATTTAAATATCTTCTGTCCTGCGAGGCAGAGTAGAAAACTAAGGTCTCCTAGCTGAAAAGATCAAAGGTCACAGGTGAACTACAGCGCAGTGGTGAAGAGCTTCCCGCAGATTAACACTCAAGCTCATTAATGCATGTCATCCCGGGGGTCAAAGGTCAACAATGAGGGAAATGGGGACAAACTGTCATGCACACAAGGGTTTTTCCACCTGTTAAAAAAAAATAATATATATGAGGTTTTGTACCATTAAACTAGGATGAATCTGTTATCTCAATAAATACAAAACCTACATTTAAATAGAGACTTTAAAGACTCCACATGCAGCACCTGGTATCGTTCCTAATAAGAGGCATAACAATTGCTTTTTTATTATATTAAAAGTGTTTGATGATGAATTAAGAAAAAAAAGACCCAAAAGATATTTGGAACCAACTGTAAGATGAGGTGCAGATGAGGGACTGGGGGGGGGAATCAAAATCTTACCCCAACTATTAGAGAAGTGAATGAAGTTAGAATGAGAGCAGAGCTGGCTTTGCATGCCGACGGTCTGCCTTAGTCAGAGTAATTCTGGTAGTTGTCGTAGGCGTACTGTCCTCCCCCCTCGCCGTTGTTGAACAGGGTGTCAGGGTTGACGCAGTACTTGCTGTCGTAGACCTGGCGGGGCAGTCCGTACACAGTCATGCCCATCTGAGATGCCACCTTGTTGGTGCCCATCTGCAAGGACACGGTGGACGTGTCACACGGCTCCAGGTCCAGCTTCTTATCGAAGATCTGCCGCTTGGTGCCGGGGGCGGTCATGCCGGACTTTCGGGGCGAGAGCAAACGACAGGAAACCGTTATTAAACATGACCTGGGAAAAACACAAATTGAGCTAAAATGTAACGACGCAACTTGACCGTCTTTTGTTTTTATTTGGCAAAAACTGAACGTAACCCTGCTCAGTTGCAGGTTTACCAAGAAACATGGAGATCCAGCACACAGCTGTAGCAACAAGATGGACGTGCCTTACCAGCAGACCGGAATGTACCGTCGAAATGTATCGTGGGGGGCACCCTGCCCCCCCCCCCCTTGGCAAAACTCATTGTACCCATCTCAGAAATTCAGTCCATGGTCAATATTTTTATGTGTGAAGCCCAGCAACCTTTCAAGTCAGGGTTGGAAAAGGGTACTTTTGCCAGCTGGGGGGGGGGGGGGCGTGGAGTAATATCCCCACTGGAAATTTTGCAAGATTGTTGGTTATTGCAAATGACCCAGTCCTCTGCACGTGCCTGAACAATGTCAGGACTGAACCAAAGCGTTCCTGCATTCAAAATGGGGTCCAACAGCCATGAGGGCAAGAAACACCCATAATATATTAATATAATAGTACAGAATTATACAGGGTGTCCATAAAGTCTCTTTACAAATTTTAAAAATTTATTACAAAGGCAAATGAAAAGCCATATGTGGAAATTATTACAAAATGTATATATTTAAGTTTTTTTTGCCTCATACACCTCTATATGGGCACCATTAGTTGCACGAAGCACATCAAGATGGTACTGGATTTCCTGCCATGTTCGCTGCGGCCCACCCTCATCAGTGGTGCGAATGGCATCAGTGATCCTCTGCTTTAGATTAGTCATGCCCCGTACCTTTGTTTGCAATGTGATTAAAAACTTTGATAACCACTGAGTACATAGAACAAATCTGATGACGATCTCTCATCAATTGCCTTTGTAATACATTTTTGAAATTGTAAAGAGACTTTATGGACACCCTGTATAAAAAAAAAGTAGAAGAGAGGAAATGTCAGAAAGAGCAGGAAAATGCAGCACAGCAATGCAGCCCCCTCCCACCTGATTGGCTCCCTTGTTGGTGCCCATCTGCAAGCTGATTGTGGATTGGTCCATCGGGCTTTCCATGCCCGTCTTGGGGTCGTAGAGGTGGCGCCGTGTGCCGTACGAGGTCATGCCCTTCTGGCTGGCAAACTTGTTGGTGCCCATCTGAGACAGAGGGGCAGCGGTTTGAGGTGTTCATTACGTCTCTTAGAAATGTCAGGACAGTCAAAGTGTTCTTTCAGGAATGTAAACAATGAATTATACAGTGAAACAGCTGACAAGTGTTTCACTGTATAACTTCCTGTGTACACTGGGTCTCATTCTATGCGACTATAAAGTAACACTGTAAGAATATCTTTCAGTCAATCAGATTAGCACAGATTATGTGATTGTTGCCAATCTAATTATTAAAAAAATTACAATATATAAAAATGCAAATATGGGCATGACTCCAGAATGAGTCAGCATAGGTTGTTAATCCTTCCTATCAAATTTAACCTTAAATTTAATTTTTAAACTTTAAATATTTTATAATGGGTTAGCCTGGCATTGATGAATGAGCTTAGAGTGGATTTGGTGGGCGGCGCCTTTCACTGGGCGCTCCTCGAACCCTGACCTGCAGGCCAATGATGTTGCGACCCTCTTTCAGCTTCTCGGGGTTAAAGCGGCGCTGCTGTTTTTCAGCGTATTTAACTCCAATGTCGTACTTGCACTGAAAACCTTTGGATTTAGCCTGTGGGGGCGGGGGGGGGGGGGGGAAGGAATGGAAAGAGAAACTCCCTTAGGACTTAGGAAGGAGTGAAAAACTGAAATGGCTGTGGAGAGCCACCATACGCAGGCGTCAAGAAGCAACAGTGCACAGAGGAATCCGCATTATCTGCAGAGTTGCATGCGGGTCACACACACAGACAGACAGACAGACACACATATACTGTATACATGCAGGCACACACGCACACATACACACATGCGCACGCATACACACACAGACAGACACATACATACACACATATACACACACGCGCATTATACACACACGCGCATTATACACACACGCGCACACAGACACCACGATTCGCAGCCGCTCACCATTCCGGCCAGCGTAATGAGTGTGCTCTGAACTTGCGTGTGGTTGACGTTCTCAAACAGGTCGTTGGCTTCAAAGACATCGTGCGGCTTTAGGCCATAATCGGTGATGGCCTTGACAAAGTTGCCGATGTTTTCCAGCTAAACGGAGTATAAAGGAAACAGGCTTAGGGCCCATTTCAGCCAGGAGCTGCTGGAGAGACTCATTCCACTAAAACCACTAACACTTGAAATCCACAGGTGCAGTTTAAGTGCTTGATTGCGTTTGCCGATCTGGAGACTGTCCAAACACTGTACTGGGGGTACATTAGTGCAGCATTTCTCAATGCCGGCCCCAGAGACCCCCACACAGTCCACGTCTTTGGTCCCTCCCAGCTTCCAACACACCTGCACCAGGTTTTCGGTGTTCTTGATTGGCTGGGAGCCGGGAGAAACTAAAACTGTGGACTGTCCGGGGGTCCTGGAGGACTGGGTTGAGAAACACTGCATTAGGGGCTTCTCACTTTGCACCTGAGCTGCAGCCCGATTCTAACCTGGAACCTTTGAATTCTGAGGGGAGCTAATATTCACTTTTTAAAAGATTGATCAGAACAAGTGCTGGATTTAAAGGGGTTAACATACTTAAAAGGAAGAACATATAAGTTTGTCTGCAGAACTGACTGTAGGGCACTGTAGGGCACTGGGCTTTCTTCTCCTACCTGATGCCAGTTCTGTGGCGAGTTGTTGATCTTTTTCACAGATCCAGGCTGGAGCTTGTTGATCAACCTACATGACATAGACATCAAGCAGGAAGTCTGGGTTAAGCTCAATGTAAACAGGTACTCTTCTGGTGTGGGTCCTGAATTTTAGACTCTCCTTCTGTCCACATGAGCAGCTCCCAGTGTGATGTCATACTCACTCGCAGAGGATGACACCGTCTTTCAGCCCCTCCATGAAGTTGTCCGGCACTTTCCGACCAATAACTTCATGGATCCACAGCCTCAGTTCCTCCTCCTTCTGGGGGTCATATTTATGGGCCAGCTGAGGGGGGGAGAATGTCAAAGTTTACACCAAATCAGATCTGCAAACACCATAACTAAATACTTCTTCTTTTAGTATGAGCTATTGGCTGCTGTTTTTGTTTCATACTTCGATGACTGTTGGCATTGACCTGTGCATTCGTGAGTAACAAACATAGATACTAGTTGCGTACTTTTTTTTAAATACTGATTACATTAATACATGATTTAATACAGTGGGAAAGACAAAAATAACAGGAAGAAAACAGAAACACTCCAAGGCATTCCTCTGCAAAGCCGCTTCCTCGTGGACACGAGGCCCCATTCCCGATCCTCAGATGGGAACTGCTCCTCTGCTGGCTACAAAAGGGAAGGAGATGCGGAGCCAAGACAAATAGGTATTCCAAAATGCCGGGCCTCTGCCATTCCAAACTTGGGAGAAACAGCGATCCTCTCCTCCCCTTCCCCATCTGTCCTACTCCTCCTCCCCTCCTGAGACCTGTCCCTTATCCACACACCCCCATCCGCCTTGCTCTTCCTATCCCTGGGATCACTTCTGCTAAATATCTAAAGCTGTCAAACACTACGCTCCCCATCCATGCGCATGTTTTTAAAATGTAGATAGTTTGTGCAGTGTTGCTTGTGCAGTGTTGTTTGTGCAGTGTTGTTTGTGCAGTGTTGTCTCTTTCACTTTTTCTTCCAAGTCATCAAAAATTTGCTTTTAAGACCTACAAGAGCCATGATACATCTGCCAGTCCCACCCCACCCCCAAAGGATAATACTCATATTTAAAACAAAAAAGTAACTTCAGAAAGGGATAACTTGAAAAGCTGTGAGGGGGGGGGGGCGATCTATAATATGTAGGGTTACAGCATAAGGCAAGATTGGAGGATATGATTTATATGATTTGTTTGAGGTGGAAGATTGTTCAAGAACTCCAGAATACAAAGCTAAATATTCCAGTATACTGATTTGCCCATCAAGCAAGAAATAATCCAGAACTTTGTGAGCATACTAAAGCATTCAATTCTGCAGGTTTCCTATTGTATAGTAACATACCACACAGGCACCCCTACTGCCTTCATTAGTGACGGTAACTCTATAAATGTCCCTTCCACTCTGAAATATTTATCAAAGGTTTCCTCCTAAAGCTTCGGGACACGGGTAGTGATTCCTTAAAAGGAGGTTGGCGACGTTTGCTAACCTGTCCTTGTGGTTATCAGATTTGGCAGCATCTGATTTGCCGCTCAGTGAGAGAGAAGCACGACAGGTCCCCAGCTAGCCTTCACAGCATAGGAAACGTCACCGGCACAGATCGTTTGGATAGTGCAGTGACTGTCAGTAACTCAAAGTCAGGCATGAAGGCATGTAAGGAATTAAAACGCAATTCTTCCATGTGTTTTTAATAACAGTGAGTTCCGTGAATACAAACTGCAAAAAAAGAGACACAAACAGCGAAGAAAGCCTGAAACAATGCAGACTGAAAAGTTGATAATAATCCCAGTCCAGTTTGGTTAAAAAGTGTCCTCACATGGGATAAGACCCTTCACTCTTAGCTGACACACGACAGAGAAAGGACCATCACATCACCATAAGGTCCTCTTAGTGTGTCATTGTTCTTAATTCCCTCTCCAGTTAGACAAAAAAAATATGCTTTTATATGATCTGTGTTACACACACTTTTCTGCTCTCAATTTAAAATTCCCATACACATCGGACCCTTCGATAACACTTTCACTGAACAAAGTTCACCTTATTTCTGTGACCTGTGTTCAGATTCTTAAATCACCAAGCTAGTAACTGCAAGCAATTAAAAGAATCAGGCAGGACAGCAGGTTACTGAATGACATTTGGATGCGCGAGTACATCCTGTAAGCCAAGTCTGTGAACTTGAATACTGAACTATGAGTAATTTGTTGAAAACTATTTAAGTCTTTTTCAGGCAGGAAAAAAATGTGCTCAAGTACCTCAAGGTCGATCCTATGTTTATATGCAGTGTTAAGCTTTAACATCATTTCTGATTAAATTGACAAAACATAAATGAGGATTTACAACTATGTATTTACATTACATTAAACTGTTTGGACTTCCTGTGGAAGATGAAAGGGATAGATGTCAGAACCTCATATTAAGGCAGCTCTCCTTACTTGGACAACATCACAGCTTCACTATGCTGTGATCATCAGCTTTTATGCAGAACTGTCACTAGAGTAGGTGCGTCTGTCGAGACTCAAGTCCTCGCTCTTATAAACAGCACCGCTACTTATTACGTACTTCACGCTGACTGGCAAGTCGCGGTTTAACACAGTCGTATCCTATAGTCAAATCTGATAAGCATCTGTGTAAAAAAAATGTCTTGTCACAAATAATATTCCTCACAAAACGCAAAGCCTGTAAATGATAAACCAACAAAGAAGCCGCCTAAAATCCTTTTACCTGCATTTTATTTAAGCAGTTTATTAAAGCGACTGGGACAGCAACAGATGCACAACAGCTTATACAGTTTTCGACGTAAAGAGCGTTTCAGGATCCTACCTTGCTCTTCACCTCGGCTGACAGTCCGAAAGCAGGTCCGCTCCTGAAATGGGTTGTCATTGTGATCTTCGCTAATTCACAGCAGATTTTACGTATTTAAACCAATGAAGAAAAGCGTCGTGGGGAGAAAGGCGAACGTGGTCTATGTGGCTCCTGCGGAGAGCAGCGGAAATTTAAGCGGTACTATAACTGTATTGTTTTGCTGTCTGTTTTTACTCCCCTTGGCGTCGGATTTGAGCACTTCGTAAGGCTTTTCTCAATCTTTTTTAAACTCTTCCCATCTGTGCAGGTCGAAAATCGGTCGCGATTGGCCAGGGACGCCATCCAATCACGACGTTGCCTCTTCCTCTAAGTGATATCACCAGCAAGGCATTAGGCTGTGACCGTGTCAGTTTTTCCACCTTGAATTGAATTACAGGATGCTTTTCATTTCTGTCACGTTTTTATTTCATTCTTACATACAGTAAGACCAACGCGATAAATACTACACCCCGTTTATTATTGCATATAATGTGCATTACATATATTGCAATTTTATTCCGAACTTGGTTATTTATTTTCACTATGTGAAATAAAAGTCACCAAATATGAATAAATGAAAGGCGTTTGTGTGTCACAGGTCATTTGAGAAACTGTATCTTACTCAGTGTGGGATTTTAGTGCCTGTGTGATACCAATGTGTCCTTTTTCACAGGCTGGTCATTACCCCTGTGATAAAAGAGAGTGTAATAATATACTCTGCTGTTCAGTACCTTATAGAGAACATAAATATTAATTTGCAGACTAAATATGTAATAAATACCTATAAAACACCCACTGATTTTTGTATGCAGGGTCACATGGGTCTGGAGTGGATCCCAGAGGCTATGGGCAAAAGGCAGGGAACAACCCAGGATGGGGCGCCAACCCATCGCAGGGCACAAGGCAGGGAACAACCCGGGATGGGGTGCCAACCCATCGCAGGGCACACTCACACCATTCACACCTATGGGCAATTTGCTGACTCTAATTAGCCTCAGTATGTTTTGGGACTGTGGGTGGGGGGTGAAGCTGGAGAACCTGTAGGAAACCCCATGACGATGCAGAGAGAACATGCAAACGTAATACATGTCGAGACACGAACCCGGGTCCCAGGGAAGTGAGGCAGAAATGCTGAACACTGCACCACCATTCCACCTCACCATTAAAGAATTTTAATTTAACACAGGAATTTATTGATTGGAATATTATCGGTGTACTTATAATGTTTGGTGAAGGTGTGATTCTGTCCACATGGATTGTCTTATTGCTCCTGTTCAGAAAACCAAAATGTAGCTAACCAGACCACCAGCATCGCTGTGGCATTTCTGTGAGCTCCAGACTGGGGGGCTGATGTCATTGGCGTGGGTGGGGCACTTATGACAATGAGGCCACTTTCCAATTCCACCCCCATGAGCAGCGGTGCCCCCAGGGCCGTGGAATGCGGCACTTCAGGGACAGTGGCCTTCACAGTGGCCTTCACGGGCCCATGGAGCCGATGATTCACGCTCTGAGGGACTCGCTGGACCACAAATGGCAGCAGCAGAGCATCAGATTATGGTTCCTTTGTCCACACAGGGGCCTTTAATCCTGCCTCATCAGAGGCTTCATTGCTGCCATCTTTGCTGATTACCTTTGTCACTTTCATACAGTAAGTGCGCTTAGTGTTACGATTACGGTCTCTGCCTGCCTATCAGCTGCCTTTATTCAAAGCCACCTGCATACTTCATCCCCCCCCCCCCCCCCGCCCTTGGAGTGCAGTGCTAGGCCGCTGAAGATCATTTTCCCGCAGAGCTGGTACTCCAGCTCGCAGCTTGGTGAGCAGGCCCAGACTCTAAAAAGAAAGTTTCTAAAAGAACGAGTGGGAATGAGCGAATGCACACCCACTGTGAGATTCACTAGAGGTTCATTAAATCCATTCCTGGCACAATTTCTACTCTATAAACATTACAGCGGATTACACCGCTGTATTTACTTCACTATCACGTCTAGTGCATTTTCACAGAAGTAAAATTAGAATCAGTTTGCGTTTTATCGTTCACCAGCTGTAACCTTGACAGATCAATCGAAATGAAAGACATTAATAAATGCATCTGGAATCAAATATGAAAATACTGTTTCAAAGATGGCAGTCTGTAATGCTTGGATAAATTGCTTTTAATTGAAGGTATGGAAAGGTGCTTTTTGGCGGTAGAGGTCATGCACACTGAGGGTCACAGCAGTCTGTGTGGCTGAAGGGACGAAGAATCAGCTTTGATTGGAGGAATTTCACAAAAGCAACGAATGCAGCAACGGGGACAGGATTAGGTAATGACCTCGATCGTGGCAATTCAGTAGCGGATGGGGCAGCGCGAGGTAGTCTGCCTGAAAAAAAGCATCGTAGAATGGGGGAGTGGTTCAGCAAAGGTCTTATAAACATCTTAAGGGAGAGAAATGAGGAGGAATGCAAGGGCTTTATTTGGGCATGGTGGAGGCACAAGAAAAGCCGTAGTTGGCTGGAACGGAAACCCCGGCCGTACTGTAGCTTGTTGTTAAAGCTGCACCTACTCCAATGGACCAGCGTGGGAGGAAGTTGGACTAAGCGCCACCTACAGGCCACCGGTGGGCCTGCAACGTATATCACTGCATATGCGAAGAGCGCAAGTCGTAAACCAGCTTATATTTGAGAGAGAGAGACAGAGTGATGTGGGAAATAAAAACTATCTGAAATACTTCATGCTGCCCCTTCTCTAAATCTGCGGCGTAACAATGTCATTTGTGACACTGAAATGCTGAGTGAAGTAACAGTTGTTCACTTTAAAGGATTACTGAATTCTCTTCGCGGAAGACATCCGGCAAAGATGGCACGGTTACAGAAGGTGACGGGTGAAGGAGCCGCGTTTGAGGGCTATGCTGGAAGGGGAGGGCCCGAGAGCCGAAGAATAAGGAAGGAATGGAGGAGCACGAGAGAGGAAAGCCACCCCCCCCCCCCCAAACATTCACTGAGCCGCCTGGCTATTTATGGAAGGTTTTCCTGATCTACGCGCCTAGGATCTGGTCTTTGCCGAAGGATTCAGAGTACGGGGCAGTGCTGTCATCCAACGCTCTGTATTTTAATAATACAGGAAGTAGATGTTATAATACATGCATCATATAATATATGGTTTACATGGCTTGCTGCAGACTATTACAAATAAAATGATACTTAAAATCTACTTTGAAAATCTGTTCTCGTACAGCTCTGAAGTGATTTTTAAAAAGTATTTTTTTTAACGTACAGAAACGTTTTTAACAGCCGCCCTGCAGTGTCCATGTCCGTGTACCATCTTCCTTCTAGTTAAAAAAAAATGTCTCGCTTGTCCCAAGAGCGCATAAATGGCAGCGCGGATGGAGGGACAGGCTGTCGGCTCATTAGACGGGTGGAGATGATGGAGTTCCCAGCCCCCTGCATCAGAAGCCGTCTGCAGTGCTTTCAAGTAACAAGCAGCTAGAAGCGTTAGTCAGATCGTACTGCTGCCCCCCCCTCCCCCCACGTTTGATGACCATAAAAAGTTAAACGCCAAAGAGCACCTTATATTAGTTACTGTAAACTACTGTAGCGTGCATGCATAATTCTGCAAAGCGAGCAATCGGGGGCCAGTCATGGCTGACCGCCTGTGGGAGCTTACGGCATGGGGGTGCAGGGGCGGGGGGGGATGGTGGGTTTCGCCTGGACTTAACTTACGTGACCATGTTTAGTCAAAATCACTTTTGGGCACGGTCGCTGAGCCAGACGCTTGTTCGCGAGGCACGGGAGAAAGCGCTGGAATCAATCAGCGAGAGAACAGGAGCTGGCTGCCTTTTAACCCCCCCCCACCACCCACAAGCAGGAGTTGTAGCGTCACTGGTGTCTCCTTAAAGATGAAGCGTAAAACTTAACGATACAAAAAATGCCAAGTGCATTTTGTGACCCTTCTTGTACAAAGCGGGGCTATACTGCCCAATTTATCATTACTTCAGGCATTCTGGACGGCCGTGGTTTTTTGTACATTAATACAGAAGAATAGTTAACGGTGCTGATTTATGGTAAACATCAAACTGCAGATTACAAGAGCAGCTCTCTTCCTCACTTTTCACCAAACGCTTGCAGGTTTGTGTGCCTTAGATTATATAGAGACCCGCTGTTTCCGCAAAGTGCCTATATCAAAACACCGCATCATCCTTAAAACCGCCAGCACGCGTAAGAGAATTCAAAAACTTAACAGAAAATCCTTTATTATAGAAGAAAAAGTTTAATTTACCATCATAGTTAACTATTGAATAACCTGAACTATTTTGCTTTTTCCGCATGAATACCTTCCGTTCTGCTCAGTTGTCGCACACTGTCACGACAGTCTCGCCCGTAGAATAAGACATACCTTAAAAGTGCCAAACACAAACATACATTTGATTTTTCACAAATTTTAATTCATTCTATCATTATACGACTCTGCAAGTCTAAAATGCCACAAAGGGTCACTTGCTGTCCAGATATTGAACTTGACTAGGAGAGTAAGAGCAGAGATGCAGTAAAAAAGCAGTGCATGCTGCATCCCCTGGAAATGACAGATGCAGCACTGCAGCACAAATGCTGCTTCAGACAGTCCCAGATGGGTCTGGATCCCAGACCAACTGGGTCCCACTTTTACTATTTTTGGAAACTGCATCTTCATAATGTCTGCAAGCAACGTTCTATATGAATGTGTTATAAATGTATTACAAAGGTGCAGTTAATATAAAATCTTAGCAGGTCGGCCTGTCTATGTGTTTACAGTTGGAGAAATGCGACCACAAACGGCAAGAGAGGAGAGGAAGAAGCAAACTGGATTCAGACACAGCTGCGTGACACAGTGCGTCATACCCCTGAAGGGGTTCACCTGTCACTGTATTTTTATGCACAGTGTACAAGTAAAACCATGCACCTCTTACCCACACACTGTAATAAGTCATCTGTCATGATCTGTACTGGGCAAAGACACGGGACCTTTGTGTAACAGAAAAAAGAAGACCCAAGATGTTTATACATTAAGTACATTTGAGGTGATGTCACATAACAGACATTTAGTGCTCACAGTGAAGTCAACTTCAGCTTTTTTTTCCCACAAATAATACCAAAGAAGTTTTCATTAAAACTAGCTGAGCTGATTCCTTAGTAAAAACTACCATAATGACAGAAGATTATTGCATAAGAGTTTGAATCCACTTCGAGCCACAAAACTTGTTTGATATTCGCCACAAAGGATATTAAGACGATATAATGAACGATAAATTGAAAGTAATGGAGCAGCATAGAGGTCTGAGTGGATGATGTGGAATCTGTTATTCGTGCACATCTCCAGCATATTCTCCTGTCTTTTCTAGGGCTTGGGAGGAACCATAAGAACCATCAGAACCATCGGCTTCAAGCAGCAAGAACCAGGAAAGTCCCAATATACACCTACAAAGACAAAATATGAGAACAGCAGCCAAGACCCCTGATCTGAAACAGTGTCAGTGCCAGATGAAATCTGATGGCGGGACCCAAGGTATTTATGGGAGGATATGGGGGGTTAAAAGGGAGAGGGGGGAGGACAGACAAGCGCTTTTCCCTGTGGCTCCATAAAGAGAGGAAGCTACCGTACCACAGAAACCCTACTGGTCAAATTAAAAATTACAGTCAAGACTGTCACCAATTTACAGAGATGAAGCAGTTTAGAACAGACAAATATTACACGCCTGTAGGCATGGTGCCCATTACAAAACCACAGCCAGGCTCCCTGCAGCTGACTCTGTCCACATGTCACTGAACTCACAGGTCAAGAGCCCTGGGAACATGCAAAGGTGCCACGACATCCATGTAACCTCAGCCTTTACGTGCTCACAGACACGTCTGGTACCGTGTGTCATAGAAAATTTTCAGGTTTTCTGACAGCTTAAGAACACAACTGCAAAGAAGTGCTTTAGAGAAATCCCAAACTGAACACTTTCCTGCAGGAATGGGGATTAATGGACCATTATAAGAGCAAACCCATTCTGTATCAGCCAATACTGAGCTGTGAAGTCTGAGTTAGACACTCCTAGAACATGACAGGAACTGTCAAGAAACTTTTTGCCAACAAATGCTGGTTGTTCCCAGTTCTGAGGTAAGGGATCACAGACCGTGGAGAGAATCCAAGTCTTCAAAGGAAGCGCCGCTTCACTCGAGGCAGTCAGGCCGCGTTCTCGAGATCCTCACGGGGTCTGGCCCGGGTCCAGACCTCCCAAAACATGTGTGTTGTCCTCAGGGAAAACTGCTCCATCCGATGGCCCCTCCCAGGCAGCCGGGGGACAGGGGCGTCCCCGCAAGGTTCTCCTCCTGCTGACGGGTGACATGGGGTGGCTGTCACTAAGTCCTGCTGGCTTCTTTATGGGGGGGTGCAGAGGTCAGAGGCAAAAAGTCTCGGAACATTATTTTATCTGATGGGGGGGGGGCAGTAATTTACTGGTCATATAATTACCGTCCCGTTAACAATTCCCCTGACGATTAAATCCAGGTTTAACGACACAATATGTCGGCTCTGATTAAAACAGACACCCTAGAGAGACCCCCGCTTCCTCCCTCAGTCATTGTGGTTGTTGGCCTGGTTTCTCTTTGTCTTGTGGGCGGTCAGGACCCGGTAGCAGCCTCGGGCGATTTTGTACATCCAGACGGTGTTGAGGACATCCAGGCAGATGCAGGACAGGATCCAGGCCGTCTGAGCGCCCAGGCCGAGCCGGTGGAACGCCGGAGTGCCGAACGTGGCCACCACCCGCAAATAGTAAGGAGGCATGACGGCGATGCGGACCAGGAAGAAGACCACCGCCATGGCAACGCCGTTGGCCACCACCAGGGTGTCCGAGCGGGGGAAGGACAGAGCCTCGAAGAACCACCTGAAAGAGGAAAAGGGCAGGCTTT